GCTGTGGCTGGCTGAGCCTGGGGCCAGGTCAGAGGCTGTGTGGCTGAGGGCTGCCCCTTCCCTCTGGTGACTTTGGGGAGAGTTCCAGAAAGCTCTGTGGGAGCCTCAGCCAGGGCTGACCCTTTGCCCCAGGAGCTGTTTTTAAGCTGGTTCTCTTGCCTTTGGCTTCTGAGCAGGCTTGCCTCTGCCTGCCCATGCACTGTGTAGATCTAGACCTGTGGATATGCTTCTTGGCTTGACTCGAGATCTGCCTTGTCACGAGGGACTTGTCTGGCAATCAATGGGCTGTGGCTCACCCTGGTTACTGCCTCCAGACCTGATCCTGATGCTGGCTTGGCTTCTTAGTTTGACCTTGGACCTGCTTCATCACCACAGGCTTGTCTGATGATTGTAATTCTCAGCTGAACCCGGCTGTCCTCACTGTACCTGCGTTGCTCACAATCTTTCTGTGACTCTATGTCAGTGCTCTAGTCAAGTTAAAGGAAAGAAAAAATCAACTTCTCTGGGCAGGGAAGAAAACATAGCAGTGAAGACACTGTGTTGATGCTCAGGTGCATGGTGTGTTAGATCTGGAGAAGGCAGAAAGAACCATAGGAAGAGGAACAAGGAAAGGGGTCTAGGACGGAGAAAGGTGGAGGAAGGCGTGGAAATGGACAGCAGTGCAGCTGCTGTGATATCACTCCACTACCCCGTAAATCCCAGAACGAAAGAGTAACATCAGACCCTAGCAGAAGGTGTGCGAGCAGCTTTGCTCCCTCTCCAGCTGCACTGTGTCACAAACGATTCACGTTCACATGGCAGACCTGGATTTTCAGAGCAGAAATACCTACTGCCCTGCAAGCCCCCCTCCACCTCTCTCACCTCATCTCTCAGGCACCGTTAAATGTCCTTCATCTGCAGCGGCTGAGAAAGGGGACGGAGCTGGCCGACGTAGGGCATACGTCTCTTAAGGCAGCCTGTGACACAGGCATCTCTCTGTGAGGAGGCTCAGCGTCTAAATCTGCTTCTACTGTCACCTGTAGTAAAAGGGCAGGTCTTCAAGGGAGACTGGAAATACGGGTTTAAACGCTGTATCTCCTAAACTGTATTGTAAAACAAAGCCACGATGGATTCCATTTATTCCTTCAGCAGTCATGAGGTAGGGGCTTGAAATAAGATTCGTTGCTAATTTGGAAGTCTAAGAACCAGGACTTTGCTCTTCACAGCATTGCCTGACATTTTCCTTTATCATTCCTTTAACGTTGTCCAAAAAAATTCAAATATACCGTAACGTACCTGTGCCTGGGTCCTGCTGGATGCCACAGAGAGGCTGTTTCGCAATGCAAGAGGAAAGGCGAGCCTTGGTCACTAGCAGGGCTGAATCACTGGGGTTCCTGGCACTGCCTGTGTACAGCTGGATCTCTCGCTTCTCGGGAGATTTACAGGGCTTTCGCATAGAGTGCAAGCTGAAAAAGCACGTACAAACAGTGCAAGCAAATGTATTTCACTGCAGCCTCATTCTGCAGCATCATGCCTTTTCAACAGTGAAAGTGACTCAGACCTGAAATCAACCACCCTATGGCCGAGCGACAAGAAAGTGCAAAGCACCACTGTCAATGTGATCTGCAGAAACTATGACAATAACATTGGTACCCTCTCTGTTTCCTGGGGCCATTATGAATGCTGGGTGTATTTTTAAGTACGCTAGTGTTTCCCAGGCCATTTTGCTTTAGGTAAATGTATAGCCATTGTGCTGCGTGTATGTGTGTGTGTGTCTACACAGCTGCACAAGCACATTTGTCGTACCTCCCAAAGACTCTTTTGCTAAGGCCTGTGACTTACTATGCAATTAGGAACCTATTTTCTGCAAGAGTACTAAACACTCAGCTATTCTCCTCAACGCCAACAAGCGTTGTGAAATGCTTCAACTCTTTTGGAAAATTAAGGCACTTATTTATGTGCCCCAAGCTGGACCTGAGACCCAGATTGAAGCATCTAGTTAAAAAAACAATGAAGTTTCCCTCAGTCATTACTGCTACATTCACTCTGTCAGCAGTGAGTACCACATCTGTGCTCTGATCATCCCCAGAACGGCCTCACCTTACAGTGCAGCCAGGAGGTGCTCAGGCAGGATGGACTTGCAACAGGAATCTGTGCTGACCAGACCTAGGCACATTAGGTTGGTTTGAAGCCCTTGTTCCCCACTGTGTTTCCTGCACCAAAAGAGTCAGGTGGGACCATGTCCCGGAGACAACTCTGTTTATTTGAAACAACCTTTCACTCTTCAGCTTTGTATCATCACGTTCACCCACATACAGTCTGCTGCGCTCCCTCAAACAGCTTGCTATGTTACCCTGAGCTGTTTCCCACAGTGTTGCTGTAACTATTGAATGGGTGACTCTGCCACGGTATGACCTTCTTGTGGTTATATTTCTGAGTCCTCAATAGGGCTGTTCAAAAATACTGCCATAGGAAGTGATGGCAAAGATCCATTGGGACGGATGAAGTTTTCAGCTGGGAGTTGTTTTAGTTTTGAGAAGGCATGGTCTCGGGTTGACTTATTCTCCACAGCCTGATTCTTGAGCATCCCTGTATCTGAGTCCCAGGCTTGTCCCCGCCGCAGTTTCTTAAGGTGTTACGGAAACCCTCAGTACTGAAGTAGTAGATCAAGGGGTCCAGCGTGCAGTTCATGCTGGCCAACAGCATTGTCATAATTAAGACTTGGTGCACGGAGGCCTGTGTTTCTTGCTCAACCTTAATCACTGGGGCCTTTATCATCCCATAAACTGCCAGGGTAGTGTTGTAGGGCACAAAGCAGATGATGAAGATGACCAGATTGACCAAGAGGAAACAGAGTATTCTGCTGTCGCAGGGTCTTCGTCTGGCTGCTCTGGCAGAGCTCCTGAAAGATCCAGATTGAGCAGTATGTCACAGAGCTGACAGGCAGGAGAAACCCCAAGATTTCAGCCAGGGAAAGGCTAAGGGGAAGAGGTTTTTCTGCCACATGTTGTCACTAAAGCTTTCAAAGCACAGGTATGTAGTCTGGTTCTGTACCTCACAGTGGTTTTGCTTGTGGACTATGGCTGTGGGGATGGAGCCCGTGAAGATCACAACCCAGACCATCAGGCAAAGGAGCTTGGCCACCTTGGGGCGTCGCAGATGCCGCCAGCGAAGTGGGTGGACAATGGCAACATAGCGATCCAGGTTGATGCACGTGAGGAAGAGGCAGCTGCCATACATATTGATCTGGAAGACAGAGCCAGAGACCTGGCACAGGGTGTTACCAAAGGGCCAGTGGTGGTTGGAATAGTAGTAGAGTCGCAGTGACAGAGAGAGCGTGAAGGTGAGGTCACTCACGGCCAGATTGAAGATGTAGATCATCACCACAGACTTCAGGCGCAGCTAGCGGATGAATATCCATAGGGCCATCACATTCAGCAACAGACCTGTGATTAGATCATCACCACAGACTTCAGGCGCAGCTAGCGGATGAATATCCATAGGGCCATCACATTCAGCAACAGACCTGTGATGAATATCAGGGTGTAGATAGGCAGGAGGGGGTGGTGGTTGAAGCTGTAATCCTTGCATGTCTGAGACGCATTGGAAGCTGACATGCCCAGCGGGGATCAGGGCAGAGTCTCGCTGAGGTGGCTGAGCCTGCTGGTGCCCTAAGGAGGCACAAATAAAAGCGCTGAGAGAAGTCATTCCCCCCTAGCAAGCCACAGGCAGGTCAGTCCCCTCATCTGCAGCTAAGAGGTAGACAGGCACACCTCTCTCTTGGCTGGTGCTGCTTGGGATTGGTCATCTGACAGGGGTGGTAATGTAGTCACCAAGAGTCAGCTTCTGCCTCTAGTTCAACAATTCTTTCCAGTGGTTATGTGAATGTTGACAAGATCGAGGGTCATTGCCAGGTGTTGAATGTCAGTGCAATTCCTGGTCAGAGTGGAAGACCAAGACAGGAGACTTTAAGTTAGAGGGGGAAATCTCTTGAAAGGTCAAAATACAAACATGATGGCTTCTGCTGCAAGAGCACACAAAGAAACCACAAGACTAAGAAAAATGGACGGTAGAAAAATGAGTAATTGCATGAAGTCAGAGCACAGAGAAGGTAATTGTTGTACAGAATCATTTATCGCTCAACCCCAGAAAATGCGTGTTGCTTTGATCACTGTGGAGAGCACACATATACAAGAAAGGGACAGCACAAAAGCACCCAGGGGAAGTAGTCAAGGCAGTTCCAGAAAAAGAGAGAGAGAAAGAAAAAGAGGAGAGCAAGCATTTTGAGAGAAAAATGCTGACTGGAAGAAACTTAAAATAAAAACTGCGTAGTATTGGTCTATATCAGAGAAAGACGACTTCGAATATCCATTGCAGATAAAAAGAATTACACTACAGTTAAATTTGACTCCATCCTATCTCCTTTTCCTAGGTGAAACACCCCACAAAAACGTGGGTCCCAGCTGGTTGGAGCTCCTTGCGTTGCTTGCATTCATACAGTTCCTTTGGATTGGATGTCTCAGATCATTTTCCTGATTACAACACTGTAAAGCACGAAGTAGCCCGTGTCCCACAAACATAGAGCAGCACAGCCAGGTAAGGGAGCACACAGTAAAGCAGGAAGGGCCATGGGATTCATGTGGACAAATGTACCCGTGACTCCCAAATGGTGTGAGACTAGTAACCACTCTAGATTCTAACGGTAGCACTGCCTTGCCAAACATTGATCAACCAGAGTGGGTCCAGTGGAAGGCCACCAGAAAGGTCTGGGGGCTGGAGGACTTGCCCCATGATGAGATGCTGAGGGAACTGGGCTTGTTCAGCTGGAGAACAGAAGGCTTCAGGAGACATAATAGCAGCCTTCCAATACCTACAATGTGGTTACTGGAAGAGGGCAGAGTTACAGTGGGGCATGGCAGGGGGCTAAGAGACGTAAATTGAAGCAATAGATATTCGGACTGGATATAGTGAAAAATGTTTTCACTGTGAGGACAGTCAGGCATTGCAACAGGTATCCCAGAGAAGTTGTGGAGTTTCCATGCCTGCAGGTTTTCAAGACCAGACTCTAGAAAGTCCAGGGTGACCTCATCTGATCTGATAGCTGACCCTGCTTTGAGCAGGAAGTTGGGCTAGAGACAGTCTTAATTATTCTATGAACCTAAAACTAGACATCCACTATCAAAGCTGTCATGGTGGAGCGAGGTTTGGTAGGCATGACAGAATTCCCTGTAGCTGTTTGCAGGCGTTAGATAGGGACTCCCTCACAGAGCCCACGTAGAGTGGGATTTACCTCAAAAGGAAAGTAGAATTTTCCATCTAGAGGAGGAAATCCTTACATAAGGTTGATATTGCTGTAAGATGAAGCTACTCAGCAACTTGACTGGCATGACTAACATGTCAGACCTTCTGGATGGAACTGTGGGGCAATGCACAGATCTAGAGGGAGAATCAATTAAAGACGGAAGAAGCGTGTGCTGACCGCATAGGTAGGAAAAGATTGATTCTGGCAACAATATGTTAAATGATGAAAGTGGAAGTCTAATACGAGAGAGCAGAGAGCTATCAATTTGCCCATCCTTTGGTGTTGTTGGGCAGGCCCACCACCAAGGCAGGCTTCTTAGAGGAAATTCTACTGGTTTGTCAAGCTGTATCTGAGTGGCTTTCACCCTTCTTGGTGGATGAAAACTTTGTGTGAAGACTTGCATAAATTTAAAGCATAAAATAATCCAGCAAGATGAGGCAAATGTGCAAGAATGTTCTTGGTTTCAAGTGAAATTATTAAATGCCTCAAAAAGTCTCAAGGAGGAAGGATATGCCAGCTTTTGCTAAAGCCAAAACCTGCGATGACTGCAGACTGAACAGACTGGTGAGACCTTCGTCTTGACTGAGACAAAGTGAGAGACCATGACCTGCTCTACCACGTGTACCCAGACCAGTCAGGTGTCAGGTGAAGTTAACTTGTCTCCACAGACAAGCTACTCTTATCAAGATGTATTCAATAAACGGCTCTAGAGAATGTAATAGGTAAGCACAATCCATCCTGTGTGAGATCAGTGGTCTATCTACAACTAGCATTCTATCTCAGATTGTGGATGGTAACGGGATAATGTAAGAACCGTGCAATCACGTAGTTATGCTCCCTCAAGTTTGTTTCCTGCTTCCAGCATATCGTATCCCAGGGATTTCCTGAGCCAGAGGTGACCTACTGGTATTCAGTAGTCCTCAGGGAAGTTTCTTTCATGGTTTTTTCTAGTTGGTTTTTGAGTTGATGCAAAATTTGCCACCTGCAACATCCAGTGCCAGGAGTGCAAATTTGTTCCACAACTTAATCGCATCTCAGGTGAAGAACCACTTCCTTATACTAATTTTTTAATTACCACCTGCTAGATTCAGTTCCCAGTTTTAATGCTGCAAGAGACAGTGGAAAAACCATCCCTACTCACCTTCACCTTATCACTAATGATTTTATAAATGTCTACCATATTTCCCCTAAGAACCTTCTTTTTTTTGAGGCTAAAGGATTCTTGTCTTCATAGCTGTGCCTCACAAAGGAGCCATTCTGTACTTTTAAACGTCCTTGTTGCCCTTCTCAGCACCTTTCCACTTCTGCTGCAGCCTTTGTGAACCCCGTGGTGGGGTGCTTGAAACATACACAGCGCTGATGAAGTGGATGCACATCATCATGTGCATGATGAGAGCTGAGCAGGCATAGATCTCATTTGCAAGGGGTAATGGTCAAGGTTGTTTTTCCTCATCACTTGGCAAGATGAAATTTCAGCTGCTATTTTAAGGCCAGTCACTCACACTTCCTTTAATCTCTGCAGTTCTTTGCAGCCAACCCTCATCTTTTCTAACCTGAATAATTTTATGTCTCCAACAGATTTGTTATTTCATTATTCATCCCGCATGAATAAGTCAAACGGCGCAGGCCCCAGCACTGGTGTCGTATAACTCTGCTGAGAAAACCAGCCATCTACCCTCATTCTGTGTCCTATCTTTTAGGCACTTTTTATCCAGGTAGGAACCTTTCCTCTAAATTTCTTTAAGCATCATTGGTGAGAGTCCTTTTGAAAGCCTTTTGGAAATCCACACGGGTCACTGCTCATGTGCTTGTTGACTCCTTCAAAGAAGGACTGTGAGGCACAGCATCCATTTTTAAAAGCCATGATGGCTCTTCCCCAGTAATTAGATGTGACTGCATGCCAATTGATTTTTTTCCTTTATTATAGCTTCTACTAGTTTGTTCAGCACAGACATCAAGCTCCCTGGTCTGAAATCCCTCAAGAGCCTTTTCTGAAATTGCATCTGCTAGTAAGCCTTTGAAAGCAGTTTTAAGCAAATGTTTCTACACCACAGTTAGTCAGGTCTTTCACCCTTCAGTTGTTTTTGGACCTCTGGGGTAGGAGCTGTGTGGTTCCAGACACCGCTTAGTTCATCTTGCTGCTCCATAACCGTTCCTGTCACCCTTTTGATCAGAGATAGTATTTTGATGAATTTCCCTGAAAAGACAGTTTCTGCTGTGGAAATCTCCAAGGTTTTCCTGCCGTGAATACCAGTGCAAGAAAGCCAAGCCTTTCAGTTTTTAACCACCATCTCCTTTTCTTTTTTTCCTGAGTGGTCTTTCCTTGCATACCATACATACTAGCCCTTCAAACCTTCGAGACACCAGGCAGCAGAGTTCTAAACTGGCAGCAAAGATGACTAAGAGTGTAAAACAGATTTGGTTTTTTTGATGAGATTTGTTTTATTTTCTTTTATTCTATGTTATTTTATGGTATATTTTGTGGGTGGATGGAAACACAGAAGCAAGAATCCACTAGCGGTGGAGTTATTGAAGCTAAGCTGGTAGTCTCAAATTTTACAGAACAGACACTGTAATCAATATCTGAGAGGCCTGAAATGAGATGCGTACACACGTGGTCTTTGGAAGCTGTGGGAACGGAGCCTTCTCTGCAGAGCTCTGAAGGTACTGTTGTGACCATCCCTCACTGAAGAGGAAAGCTACGAGTAGAGCAAGCTCGTAGCAGGGAGGCAGAAGAGCTGAAACTGGTTGGATTATCTGTGTTGGTTAATGTCTGAGAGCCACAGGCCATGTTGTTTGTGGCTGCCTCTACAAAACCTCAAGTACTGATTGCTCTACATGAAAGTTGCTGAGAGGTCTCAAGTGATCAGCTGTGTAAAGAAGCAATGGTACCACAGCTAAATCATTCTCCTCCTCACGATGAGATGCTGTCTTGAAATCTTGAATGAACTTTCTGTTTGGTGACTGACCTTAAGTGGCCCAGGAGGTGAAGGACGCATCTTTTTGCCTCTCAGTGAAGATCAATATGAGCCCCTGAAGGCCATCTGCCGAGACCACGGCCTTTTTCCCAGGGAAGACAAGAGCAATTCCAACAAAGGATGTTACCTAGGAGGATACTTCTTTCCATTTTCAGGTGGAAAATGAATTTGTTACTAGTATTCTTGCTGCCCTGGGAAGAGGAGACAGGGGAAATGACATAAACATGACACATGTGCACATGTGTACACGCACACACACACACATACAATGAGCAACAGCTGCAGGGGAGGAGGAGCTGCAGAAACTAGAAGGAAGGGAAAACACCAATGAGAGAGG